TTTGGCAGTTTCCTACCCGTGTTTTTGGAGAGAAACCATGGAGAGATCCTTGCCTTTTTTTTACAGGCCAGCAATGGATTGTGGTACCGGATGGACGATGAATCTGTGGAGCTGTGTTCCATTGACACAGTTCTCAGGCAGCAAGCCTACCTGCTGTTCTATGCCAGGTAATAACCAGGATTCAAATATGTTCAGAATACATTTCCTTTTCCTCATTTGCACTTGTGCTTCTCACCTTCCTGAGTGTTTTTCTCATCAAATGAAATTACTACCTGCATCATTCAGTGCTGTCAAATCTGAACTACTCCGTGTCTGTCCTTTACTGGGCTTCAGGCTGCGGCCCGGATGGAATCTGCTACTTGCCTGGTCTCTGATGTTGACTCCTGTAGATAAGAGGACTTAAAGAGGACCTCCAGGAAAGATGGGGAGGCACCATTTGTCAGGGAATGTAGGGACAGGATGAAGGCTATCAGTTTCCAGCTAACAGAGGGCAGGTTTCCATTAGATATTGGGAAGGAATTCTTTGCTGTAAGGGTGCTGAGACACTGGCACAGGTCGCCACAGCATCTGTGGGTGCCCCATCCCTGGAAGTGTTCAAGGCCAGGTTGGACAGGGCTTGGAGAAACCTTGGAATAGTGGAGGGTGTTCCTGCCCACCACAGCGGGGTGGAACAAGATAAAGTTAAAGGTCCCTTGCAACCCAAACAAATCTGTGAATTTATGAAATGGAGGCTGTGGGAGGTATAGAGATGAGGTTTTTATTGGGACAGAGGCAAACTTGGTGGGAAGACCCTAGCTGAGTTTCCCATTAGTGTCCTTGGTTAAGTCTTCTCTCTGTCATAGAAACCTCTCTGAGAAAATGACTGAACCCCAGAGGAGGTTGCAACAACAGCTCTAAACTGAGATCACTCTTTTGTTTTTCTCCAGATGCTCTGATCTGAGAATTGGAGAAAGGCCTTCTTCCTCACTGGCACCATCACATGCCCCTTCCTTCCTCAGCCAGTGTGTGGCCAGCAGCAAGCAGGCGGGCTCTGTTGGACCACAGGGTCTGACTGGTAGGACTAAGGTAACTTTGGGGTCGTGGGTCAGGGCATCAGAGGAATAGTGGATTTCTTTCTGGGATCTCAGCATTTCTCTTTTGTCCCTCACACACCGCACCTTTCTTCACAGCCACAACGCTGCTCCCTCTCAAAGCATCCCACCTGGATCCATCCCTTTGGTGCGCCTCTGGCCTTTTGGTCTTAGTAGCCCTCCAAAAGAGCCTTTTGGAGGCCCCAAACTGTCCTGTCCCAGAACTTGTAGGGGTTCCCCACTGCTCTGATCCTTTCAGGAGAAAAGGGCAGGAACTCTGCACAGCTCTCTTTGCAGGGCATGAAGGACACTGGCAGGGAGCGGTCCCGGAGCAGATTCCCTCTGTGGGGCAGGGATCTGCGCAGCTGCTCTGGGGACACCACAGACTATGACGACGCTTCAGAGAGAAGAACTGGTCCTCCAAGTCGTGACCGTGGTCCTAGGGATAGCACAGCTGCAAGGCCTTCCAAGAGGATCTGCTGGTGGGCTCCCGCTGCCAGGGCTGCTCAGGAGCAAACCTTGCTGAGGCAGAGGGAGCCAAGCAGATCTGTGCGGGGAACTTACAACCTTGGCAGCCGGTTTGTGCAGTACACAGACTATGACCGCTCACTGCGGAAGAGAAAGAGGGAGAGAACAAGTCCTCCACGTTGTGACCAAGTCTTAGTGAATCCTGCAGTCCCAGGGCCCTCCAAAGCCAGCTCCAAGCAGGCTCTCATGCTCCGGGCTGCTCGGGAGCAAACCCGACAGAGGCAGAGAGAGCAGAGAAGATCAACAGGGCGGGGCTATGATTGCCACAGCCAGGTTGTGCAGCACACAGACTACCGCCCTTCAGAGAAGAAGAGGAGGGTTTCCACGCCCCAGAGATTCACGTCAGACAAGCATTCAGGGCACTCTGGCAATGATGGCGTTGGATTATGGCCCTGGCTCAAGCAGAACGGAAGACTAGCACTGCGTTTATTAGCCAAGGCATCCTTGTTTTCGACACGCCTTCTCAGACATGAGTGAATGATTTAGCTAAGAAGATGATAGTTACAATAATATAGAAATATCATTAGAAATATAGAAATATATATAGAAATATAGAACATATATAGAGAAATATATATAGAAATATAGAATATATATATAGAAATATAGAGAGAAATATAGAATATATGTATAGAAATATATAGGGAAATATAGAAATATATAGAGAAATATAGAAATATATAGAGAAATATAATATAGAAATATAGACATATATATAGAAATACAGAATATATATACATAGAAATATATATAGATATATAGAAATATATATAGAAATATAATATAGAAGTAATATTTTATAATACATTATTACATGTTATATATCTTCAGCAATAGATAGTAATAGTATAATAAATATTATTAAAATAATAAAATAGTAAATACTAAAATACTTTAAGCAGAGTTATTTATTCCACGTTGTAGATAATTATAGCTAGAAACATAGTGCAGTATTTGGAAGCAGTGTTGAAGCAATTATATTAAAGCTAAGAAAACAAATATTAAGTAGAGATTGTGCAGCACACAGACTACCGCCCTTCAGAGAAGAAGAGGAGGGTTTCCACGCCCCAGAGATTCACGTCAGACAAGCATTCAGGGCACTCTGGCAATGATGGCGTTGGATTATGGCCCTGGCTCAAGCAGAACGGAAGACTAGCACTGCGTTTATTAGCCAAGGCATCCTTGTTTTCGACACGCCTTCTCAGACCTGAGTGAATGATTTAGCTAAGTAGATGAGAGTTATAATAATATAGAAATATCATTAGAAATATAGACATATATATGGAAATATAGAATATAGAGAGAGAGAAGTATATATAGAAATATAGAAATATATTTAGAAATATAATATAGAAATATAGAGAGAAGTAATACTTTATAATACATTATTACATGTTATGTATATTCAGCAATAGATAGTAATGTTATAAGAAATGTTATTAAAATAATAAAATAAGAAATACTAAAATACTGTAATCAGAATTATTTATTCCACGTTGTAGACAATTATAGCTACAAACATCTCAGCCTCGGCCATATCAATCAACATAACTGGTCTACTCTGGCCTCCAATCGGGAGGCCTGGAGACACACCATCTCTAACGCTGCTGTTTCCTTTGAGAACGCACGCAGAATCCCTCTCGAGGAGAAAAGACAAGGGAGAAAGAATCATGTCTTGCAGAATATACCACCTAGGGAGTCTTTCTGCTGTGCCTTTTGCAATCGGAAATGTCTATCTCGCATTGGCCTCCTAAGCCACCAGCGTGCCTGTAACAAATGTGGATAGAGCCTTCTTAAATCTTCGTTCGAGAAGCCCAGCCACGATGATGTGTTTAAGACGGGTGTTCCATAATTTAGTGTTCTCACTGAAACCATGCAAATCGTGCGCCACTCGCTCACTTCCCACTCCTCCTTTCCTTCCCACTCCCCCTCCATCCGGAGGCAGGCTGGACGGGAGAATTGGAGGCACAAAAGGTAAAGATGGCAGGCTGAGATAAGAACAACTTACTGGAAACAGCAATGAAATAAGAAAACAGTACAGCAACAGAACAGTAACAGAAACAATACTAATAACCGAGTGTCCAAGGGAGGCAAATGACTCACACAGGATTGCTCACCAGTTGGTGCCCAACTTTGCCACCACGCACACAACCTGGAAGAGACCCCTTCCCCCATCCTTGACAAAATGAGGAATAACCTCTATGTCCTGGCTGTGCCCCCTCCTGGATACTGCCCAAATTAACACTGCCCTGACCAGAAGCAGGACAATCACCTTCAGGATCTGCAGCACAGCTTTCGGCTCTGCACCGGAGGCACTGGATCCCTCCAGGCCAGGGAGGGGAGACATCAGAGATGAGCAGACTTTGGAAATCCCTCACCTCTCACTCCGGCCCATTTTTTCTCATTTTATGGGATGGAAGAATACATACCCAACTCCTCCCAGTGTCCTTCTCACTGGAAATCCCCTGAGCTTTGATTCCTTTGCTGACATGCTGCTTCCTCTGGGAAAAGCAGTCAGAAAACCCAAGGCCATTGCTTTGAGTGAAGGTCTTTCTTAGAACACTTTTCCTGAAGTGCACCCAGGAAGGCTGGGCTGCAGCAGCACATGGCCCCCATGGCTTTGCTACATCTCCTCCAGAACACCTGGAAGCCCTTCTCTCACCATCCAGCCGCTCCCCTGCCCTGTCTTCCCCACCCCACAGGGATGCTGCTGAGGAGTTAACAAACTTCACAGTTCAATCCTGATATCCCACTGCTGACTGGGATGGGGGGAGACCAGGGGCAGTTTTGGCCCCCATCAGCACCAGCTCTTGGGACAGCCAGGCTCTCTCCTGACATGTGGGCTCATCTCTGCAGCTTTGCTGTCCTCCACAGGGTGTTTGCTGAAAAAAATCATCTTCTAGAAAAGATAGATGACACCAGCCCAGGGGTCAGCAGCACCACAGGAGAGCTTGGCAAGATGCCCTGAGGACAGCCAGGCCAGGCAGAGAGAGGTGGAAGGACCACAGGGGCTCTCTGAAGCAGCCCCATTGTACAACATAGACAAGGGGGCTAAATAAACACTGGGCTGAAAGATGAGAGTGCTCTTCCAAGGGAAATTTACAGCTGCTGGACAGGCCTGGGGCTCTTGCTGGAAAGCTTCAGTCTCTGGGCTCCCGGTGCCCAAAGGCATTGCAGATAACTCCTTCTCAAGCAATGGCAGGGAGCAGGGTGGAGAAGTCAAGGATGAGGCAGATCAGAAAGACTGGGGCAGCACAAAGACATCTACAAGGGAGAGAGACAGCATCTGAAAGGCACTCCTTGCTGACCTATGAGCTGGTGCCGTGGGCTCTACAACTGCTGCCTGCAGTCAGCTTGGAAGCTCTGGCAGTTTTAACAGGAGGTTTGTCTGCAAACAAGATGCAGAGACGTTACGATGATGGATGCGGGTATATTCCTGACCTAGGCTCTCCAGAGGGAGATTCGCTGTCTCCTCATGGGCCATAGAGGCTGTTAATATGGGATGAACTTCACTTGGTCTCCCCAAGCTCATGTCCAACCTGTTCCATGGCCTCTGACTGCGATCTGCTGTCCACCTAGCTTCATCCCCCCTCACACCCCTGGGGACTCCTTGGAGATGAATGGCTGCTGTGCCAGCACCTACTGCTCCAGGAAGGGAGTGCAAGGGGAAGATGCTACACTCGCAGGTGCAAAGAAGGTTCATTTTGCCATGGGATCCCAGGAGGTCACCATGCACATCGTCAATGGGGTCTGAAAAAAGAAAACTTACAGCTGTTGAGGCAGCTGAGCTCATCAAGCACATGTAGAAAAGCTCCTGATTTCAGGATGGCTGGCTCTTTTGAAATGCCCCAGGAAGGAAGATTTGGTCTCAGGCATCATCAGCCCCATTGGCCAGTCGAGACAGAACTGCCTGGACTTGAATCAGAAGTTTGTGGATAAGAGATTTAGCTTCATTTAGCTAGAAATGGGATATCTCTCTCCAGTGAGCCAGCTGCTTGCCATTCCGTTAGTCCCTGACCACAAGCAGCACTGAATCTGTGATCTCTCCTCCTCCAGTTTCTCAGAGTCCGTGGGTAACCCTGAAAGCACTGCTTCAGTATCAGCTTCTGCAAGAGGCCTTCCAAAAAGCAGCTAGGGGATTAGGTGAGGGGAAGAGCCAGAAAATCGCACACATTCTTCCCTGGATTCGTGAAAGACAATAAGAAAGAAATACAAGACCCCCAAAAGCAAGTCCACTTGATGGGAGCGGCAGGTGAGCATCTCTGGTTCAGTAGTGATACGACGCACTCAACTGCAGCTTGCAGACAAGAATCCTGAAACCTTCCAGTAGCCAAGATTGCCACCTGATCCCAAGGTCCCCTGTCCTCTGCCCCACGCATTTCCACGGGACCAAAGCCCCTGTGCACAGCAAAAGGAAAGTATGTGAATGTACACACGTGGTAACTTGCTCCTGGCCTTTTCAGCCTATGGAGGAAGACAACTTCCCTCATTAGAAAATGAAGCAGGTCTGACCTGGACTTTCTCAAAACACTCTAAAGCCAGAGGCAGGTTTCTCCCACAAGCGACAGCAAAGCCCTCCTCCTGCCCATGTTGTTTGGGAAATGGCACAAGAACCAGGAGAATCCCAGAGAGATTCACACCTTCAGAGACACCAGTGAGTGCAGCCCCTCCTGACATCATCCGCGCAGAAGCCTCCAGCCCTTGGGATGACTTTGCCTCCTAACAGAGGTGCCAGAGCATCTGATCTGGATTTCCCAGGCCTGCCTTAGTACCAGGCCACAATAATTGTCGCAGCATCCCAGCCTTTCCTTGCTCGAGCCAGTCTGTTTATAGGTTGTTTGGATCTCCACCTCCACATTGCAGGGGGCTTGAACACCACTGATCACATCCACTTCTACCTCTGACCTGAAGGGAGAGGAAGATTTCCCCGTTTGCTGTTGTGGCAAGTGGCGCCTCTCTGCAAGAGATTTCATCTCCTGCTCGGGGCCCCTCTGCACTGGCCAGGCTCACTCCATGCTGCTGGACCTCTCCCAGCCCCTCTAAGCAGGGCTCCGCTCAAGTCTTCGTAACAACTCCCCATTCCTCAGAATAGCTTGGCACTCCTGTAGCAGTTTGGGTGGGGAATGCCAAACTCACACCAACGAATGGCTCTGTCCAATCACCTGAGGAGCAGCAGGTACCACCCAGGGCGGAGGTCAGTGCTTGAATAAAGACCTCCCCAACTTTTCTGGGTGCAGCTGGTAAGGCGATTTTGTTATAAAAGTAGCGGGGCAACTGAACTGCTTAAAGGGAGGAACAAAAGGGCACAGAAAGCACTGCGCAAAATGGCTCCAGCCTTAAATAACGTGGGTAAGGAAGGCACTGGAACAGAAGATGGGGTTTAGGCGGAGCATGCAAATTACAACCAGTCATAGGAGATAGGGGCTGAACATAACCCTATACGGTACTGCATCAAGTATCAACCAATGAAAGGACAGAACATACGCACAGTACAATACAATACAACAACTTCTATGCAAAATCTACAATTTCCTTATTAATTACACATTTTTAGACTGCCACAACCCAGCCTGCCCCATGCAGAGCCCTGGGGGTGGCTCCTGCTACACCCAATGCCAGAAGAACACCACAGGAGACCCTGGGGAGGGAAGAAGGGAAGGAAAGAAGGAAATCTCAGTGCTCTGGATCTGGAGCAGCTGGGGGAACTCCAGTGCCTCCCAAGACGCCCTGTCAGACACGTGAGGAACTGCAGAGTCGAGAGCTCTCCCCACGCACCCCTACGGCCCGCTCCGAAATAAATACCGTTGACTGCCCATGGAAGGTCCCCTTCAGAGTAGCGACACGATCCCCGTAGCCCCTTGCTCTGGATTCCCCCGCCCATTCCCGGCCTCACCCCTTTGTGCCCAGAGCCCACTAGCTTTGAGCTACAGGGAGCAGAGGGGCTCTGTTGCCACCCTGTCAGGCGGCGTGAGCTGTAGAACAGCTCCAGTGGCCAAGTGCAGGGCTGAGCTCTCCATGGGACTGTGTCTGGCTTCAGGCAGTTTTCTGACAGGGAATGGGACTATTCTAGCCCAAAGGGAGCAATCAGGATCCAACATCTGCTTTGTTTAAGGCTGTCAGGAGCCTTCTTGGTCGCTTATCCTTTGATTTTTGTCCAAATCTTGAAGTGGCTTTGATGAGGTACAAAAATGAGGTGCAGAAAGCATGCCTTCCTCCCCCAGAGACACGGTTTCCCCTCAGATCAGGGGGATCAGACCAAACCTCTGGTGGGAGCTGTTTTATTAAGCTTGTCAGACCTTGAACATCAGGGGAGCTGTGTACAGCTCGTGGCAGCAGGTGCTGGGGCCTTGGCCAGTGTCACCTGGAAGGGGAAAGGAGGAAAGGGGACCAGCACGGATCCCTGCTGCCCTGCATATCCCCTGAGCCAAGGGACACTTATGGACAGTTGTTCTGCACCTCCCCCTGTCCCCTTTGGGTCAGGGCTATCACCTGACACTGCGGTGACAGACGGGTTCCTCAGGATATCCTTGGCAGAATGATGACGGCACTGAGTCATAGTGTAGTGGTTTGGACTTTGTTTTCCCCCAGAGGCTAAAGAAAAGTGGTAGACCCCAAGGGGTGGAAACCCTTGGAAATTTTGAAGTTCTGCCCAATGGGCGCTCCTGCAAAAATGTAAACATATCACAACCAGACCGGAAGAGATGAGTTGTAGTTTGGGTTGTTGTAGGAGAGGTGGCCATGTTGTAGAGCCACGAGGAAGGGGCTCTGAGCCCCTTGGGCCCTCTGGGGCCTCCCAGCCCTTGGCTGGGGGGCTGCAGGGACCTGGAACAGCATAAAGCTGGGCTAGGTGCCTGTAGTTATGCCAGGAGATGTTTTCTCCATGGACGCAGAGCAGCAGCTGACGCTGACCAGAGAAACGGTGGCAGAGAGCCAGAGATAAGGACCTGAACCAGAGGAGCAGCAGAAACAACATGCAGCACCGCAGAGAAGACTCCTGGAAAGGGAGGAGAAAGAGAGCCAGCAACTGAGAGACAGAGAGTTTGGGGTAAGACTGTACCAGATTCCCCAAAACTCCCTTGGAGACCCTCTTGGAGGAGAGGGACATAGACTCCTATTAAGGAGAAAAGTTTTAGACATGCAGCACTGGAGAGAGAGGAGCTAAGAAGCTCAAAAGAGCATCCTGGAGCTGGACTGGGACAGCCAGATGGAATGCAGGGGGAGTTGACCTTGGCTCCCCCCTCGCACTGCTGCCACGGTGGCAGCCTGAGAGACAGGGCACAGAGGCCCTGCAAGAGATACCAGACCGTCACGAAGACCCCCCTGTGTCTCGTGATATGACCGTGGTGAAACGACCTTGTCTGGGGTTACGAAGCCCACGGAAGACCCCTTTGCCTGTGTCAAGGGGGCCGAGGGAGAGTTTGGATACCTCCCATGTGAGTGCTGGCAGAAAGCCAGCTATCAGCTGCTGCATGTGGAGAAGACAGACAGACTGCTGCCTCAGAAGATGCTGCTGCTTAAGGACTGGAAGGGAACTGTCCTTCTTTCCCTCCTGGACTTTTATTTGGAGGGGAGAAGAGATCTGATCCATTGTAAATACTATATGTCATGGTAGAGATAGTTTGTGATCGTGTGTATAATGTGATATGGTATTTATTTGTATAGTCATTGTAATATATTCCCTTTCCCCCACTTTGAGTCTGGTGTGTTTTGTCTGAAAAAACCCATCTCACATTAGGTTGAGATGTGGGAGGGGGGATGGAGCTAGGGAATTGGATTTTGGGACTATCTCAAACCATGACACCCACACAAAAGAACTAACCAGCAGATCCACATTCCAAACTGAAGACCCTCCAAAGGCTGTGGGGGGGTGTGGGGTTTTTTTAACTCTCTCCTCAGAAAGGGGAGGCACTGCCTGGAGGATGCCACTTGTCCCTGCATGGTCCCAGTTGCTCCCAGTATGATCCCACTATGAGTCCAGTCACCTCCAATGATCCCAGTAAATTCCAGACACTTCCAGTGGATTCAATGAATCCAGTTTAATCCCAGTCATCCCCAGTATGGTTGCAGTCCCTCTCCCATACTCCCAGTATTATTGCAGTCATTCCCAGTCTGGTCCAAGTATGAACCCAGCAGGGGCCCAGCTGCTCCCCCTCTGATCCCAGTTGCCCCCAGTGTGGTTGCTCCAGGATGGATCAGGAATGGGGACCCCTCTGTGCCCCCCCCTTGTGGCACCCTGTTCTGGGAGAGCTTTGGGGGGACATCTGCACCCCAACACGGCATCCAGCGCATCCCAAAGTGTGCAGGACCCCCTTAAACCACCCCAAGCCCCCAAGGAACCTCCAAACCCACTCAGAGTCCACCCAGAACTCCACCTAACCCTTTTCTGGGGGGACTTTCATGGACTCTGGTGTTACTGGGAGCCTCCCCTGGCTGCACGTGAGGAGCTCTTGGGTGAGAGGGGGTGTTGGGAAGGGGGGGGTCGGTGAGTCAGAGGGGATAAAAGGGGTGGTGGGACCCCAAGACTGAATGGGAGAGGAGTGGGACCCCCCAAAAGTGGAGAGGGAGGGAGGCTGAGAATTGGGGGATGATGGGAAAGGGGTGGGTGAGGTCAGAAGAGGGGGAAAAAGGGGAGGGTGGGACCCCCAAACTGAGCATGAGGGAGGTGGGGATTGGGGGAATGATGTGTATGGGGTGGGAGAGGGGGAAAAAGTGGGGGTTGAGACCCCAAACTAAGCATGAGGGGGCTGGGGCTTA